CCACATAGGATACATAATATTCTCCTGAATATTCTGCCAATATTGAGAACAAACTGAATCTCATTAATCCAGCTCAGCAGGCGTGATGTCAAGACATCTTCTTCGACATATTGTTTCAGTTGTTGAAAAAGTTCAACACAACATGTTCTGACATTGTAATAGGACTTCTTGTTGTACTTGTTTTTCTTATCCTATTCTTCATTGCTGCTATTATTTGTTTTACAAAAAATTAAGCCAATCCTAAAATAAGAGAACTAACACTTAATCGAATTGAGGTTCATCAGATGCAAGTTTGATTATGGTGTCTATGTTCAGGTTGTGGCACAAGATATAACTATTATTTGCTTATATGTCGATGACTTGCTATTAACTGAAAATAGCTTAGAAAACTTGTTGAAGTTTAAAGAGCTGGGATGATGAGGGAATTTTAAATGTCGAATCTGGAAAACTTGTATTATTTCCTAGGCATGGAATTTCAAATGTCGAAGCAAGGTATGGTGATACATCAAAGAAAGCATGTCAAAGAAATACTCAAGATATTCATAATGGAATGCTTAAATCTTGCATCCTCACATGTCGAACCAAATCTAAAACTAGAGAAACATGGAGAGGAGGACAAGGTTGACGCTACTTTATTTAAATAAATTATGGGATCTCTGAGGTATGTGTGCAACAGTCGACCTTGTATAGGTTTCTCAGTTGGATTAGTAAACAGATACATGAGTGAACCAAGGGTGTCACAAATGAAGGTTGCAAGAAGAATCTCAGAATACATAAAAGGATTGATAAACTATAGAATTCTATTTCGATGAGATTCTGAAAGCAAAAAAGCTACGGTTGTTTGCTATTCAAATGTTGATTAATGTGGATATAAGGAAGTTCGAAGAAGTACAATGGTTTATTTCTTTCAAGTCTTTGGTTCCCCAATCTCATGGTGCTTGAGAAAGAAATTTGTGGTGGCATTGTCATCATGTGAGGCTGGATATATAGCATGATCCTATATTATGTGTCAAGAAATTTAGATTAGATCTATGCTTGAAGAAATGAAGGTCGAAATGAAAAAGCCTCTAGTGTTGTAGATCGACAACAAGTCAAACATAAATCTTGCAAAAGAATTCAGTGTTGCATGGAATGAGTAAGCACAATGAAACTAGACTTCACTTCTTAAGGGAGAATGTAAATTGAGGTGAAATTGAAGTAAGACATTGCTCAAGTAAAGTATAGTTGGCCGATAATTCACCCAAGGATTGAAGACCAACATATTCCTGAATTTGAGAAAGAAATTAGGAATGGTTCAGATCGACAATGATTAGCGTATGTTCGATAACTTGGATTATAGGGATTTGTTGTGATATAATCCAAGATGTATAGCTAAAGCCCGAGTTAATTAGGGTTTAGGGTAATATACAAAATAGTTGTATATAAATAGACTTCATATAAATCAATTTTATTATTCAAGTCAATAATACTTAGGGTTAAATAAGTTTTTGGTCCCTCTACATATCACAAATTTCGTTTTTAGTCCCTCTAAATTTTTCCTTTACAGAATGGTCCTCCTAAAAAATTAAATTTTAACTTTTGGTCCCTCCTGACAAAATCGTAGCTAAAATGGTCTCTAATTCCGTCGCTAAATAAAAACTGTCGCTAAAACTGTCGTTAAAATCCTCGCTTAAAACGTCGCTAAGTTATAAAAACTGTCGCTAAATTGGAGGAAGGATCAAAAGTTAAAATTTAATTTTTTTTAGGAGGACCATTCTTTGAAGGAAAATTTTAAAAGGACTAAAAACGAAATTTGAGATATTTAGAGGGACTAAAAACTTATTTAACCCTGATACTTATCATAAATAAACGTGTAAGTACTTAATTTTATTTTATTTTATTAGGGATGAGTAGTTCATATTTATCTGTTTTTATAAATAATAATAATAATAATAATAATAATAATAATAATAATAATAATAATAATAATAATAATAATAATAATAATAATAATAATAATAATAATAATAATAATAATAATAATAATAATAATAATAAATTTAAGAAATTTTTTTATCAATAACTTAAACTCCAAAAAATTTAATTACACGTGTTAGCTCATAGAAACTTTTACCTCTTCTTTTGGAAGAAAAAGTCTTTAAATTATTATTATAAATAAATAAAATTATTCTTTTAATTAATCGAAATCCCGGATTTTTCCTTCGCCATATATGTGTCAATTCATAACTGAAACCAAATTTTATCTTTTCCTTATTGAATAATTCTTCCCCTTATACCCGCTAACAATTCCCACAATAATAGACTTTTGTGACAAGAGCTGCTTTTAAGTGATTCACAAGCTTTGGAAATCACTTCTACAAATCCAAATAGATTGTACCTTTCGATCTTTAGGTTTATTATTATTATTTCAGCTTTCTATGGCTAATCTTCTACGAAAGTTGAATTTGTGTACTTCAACCAAGGTTAGAATCTTGGTAGATGAAGTGAGAAACAAGGTTTTATTTCTCCAAGCTGGTAAAGACTTTGTTGATGTGTTACTAAGCTTCTTAACATTGCCATTAGGCACCATTGCAAGGCTTGTGAGCCAAGAATCTAACATGGAAAATGTTAATGTTGGATGCATAAACTTTTTATATGAAAGTGTGGCCAATCTTGACAAAGGGAAGTTCTTATCGACTTTGGAAAGAGAACTATCGGTTCGACCTATAAACTCGATGGACCAGTATTGCCGGTTTCTAAAACTCAATGTTGACAACACGGAGAAATCGAGGTCTTTTAGATGTCGTCACAAAGAGTGCGAGCTTGTACCCGGAAGTTGGAATTGCATGTGTTTTATGGATAAGAAAGATGTGCTATGCAGCGTACTTTCAACTCCGAAAAAAGGTTTTGTCCCGAAAACAGCAACTTTTATTGTTTCAGATGATTTGAGTGTGAAGCCTGATAATTCTCAAAGTCCAATTTCTATAGCTAAGTATCTTGGATGCGAAGATGTAGATAATATCAAGATATTAACCGTCAATGTCACTCGGAAAGAGGTATTTATCTGTCTATTCATCTATTCGAGTCCGATTTATACATTGTTTGTTACCAAAGTTATCTAAATTTCACTTGTTTTTTTAGATAATAAATCTGAGTCCAATTTTCACATTGCTTGTTACTAAAGTTATCTAAATTTCAGTTCTCTTTGTAGATTATCGATCTAAGTCCAATTTGTACATTGCATTGTTACTAAAGTTATCTAAATTTCACTTGTTTTTTGTAGATAATTTATCTAAGTTCAATTTGTACATTGCTTGTTACTAAAGTTTTCTGAATTTCACTTGTTTTTGTAGATAATTGATTTGGTGAAGTGCTCCTTAGTGTCCACGACACCTTTAACAGACGTATTCGTGACGAAGAAGCTGTTTCGTGAGAATCCAAGACCCGTCAATGTATTGGATTTAGATGATTGTAGAAACGGAGCACTGCTAGTAAGGAAGACAATAGAAGTAAAGGCAATGGTAAGAAAATCCAATAGCAAAATATTGTATGCTTTGGGGGAAGAGGATTTTGCAGACTTGTTACTGATGTTTCTGAGATTCCCTTTGGGAGGAGTTGAGAATATGTTGAATGGAAACTCGGGTTTTGACAACATAGATAATTTATTCAAGAGTATGCTTGATTTGGATCCTGAAAGGTATATGAAATCGAGACAAGATATGGTGTCTAAGCAACTCAAGTCTAACTTTGATGGAAAGAAAATAATGAAGAGTCCTTCGATGTATATGGTAACCGATGACTTAATTGTCACGCCAGGATCCTCGACCTCGGCCATTTCGTTTCTGACTGATATGAAGATTCCTCTCTCTGATTTGGAAGAAAGGCTGATTAGAATTGGCAATAAAGAGGTAAAGTCTGTAGTTATTGGTTAAATTTGTTCATTATACAATACACTATGAGTGTAAAAATGTTTGATTATATGTTATATTTATTCGAATATTTTGTGGAACTGTGCAGGCTCATAGTCTTCTGAAAGCTTCTTTGATCTCACCAACAGCTCTCACTCATGGTCTTGGTCCATTTCTCACCACAAGTAAAGGGAAATAATTGAGATGTTGATGGCTCTTTGTTTTGCTGATTATCAGTTTCTGAATTACTCTTCAATTTCATCTCCTCTAGTCTTGTAGATTTGTTTTTGCATTTTTTTTTCATCTTTTCTGCTTTTGTAGATTTGCTTCTGCATTTTTTTTCTTCTTTTTTCTATTTGTAGATCTTCACTTATGTTATCAACTCATATATATTATCAGTTTCAGTTTTTTTCCCTTCAACTCTACTATTATTTTCTGAATTTTAAGCAGCATTTTATTGGTATTATTTCTTGGTTCTTTATCAACTGTGGAATTGACGGCCACAAAAAAAAAATACAATGAGCTCCACATCATTGAACCTCAAAGCATAAAATAATTAAGCGATTATGTATCTTAAAATTATGTTGTTTTTACTCATTGAACATAACTTATCATTTTCCATAAAAGGAATAGTATAAGACCTTTAAATTGAGACTGATAACCATTGTTTTAAATTGAGATCATGAATTGTTGCTTCGATGTGCATTGTAGCTGATACATCAGAAAATTTGAAATAAACTGTTAAAAAACACTAAATGTTAACATAATTTAGAAGTAAATCGAGTTTTAGATTTTAAATTTTGAGTTTTAACAAAAAAATAATTCAAGAAACTTGAAAGTTGTCGGATAGAGTTCCTAATATTAAAGATGCATGACTTTAAATCACACAACAATTTCGATCTGGTGCGATTGCCCCATCAATAATATTGCAACCTTAATTGCAGTGGTTGCGGGTCGCAATGTAAGTTATAACTATTAGTTCAATCCAAATCCATGAATAATAACTGTCGTTAACACATAAACACAAACAAAATCCTGTCAAATATAAGTCATTCATTAATGTATGCATAACTAATAAAAAATCAGAAAAAAACAAAAGGAAACAGAAAATCATCAATTGTGATGAGAATAAAGAAGACGAGCAATCTCAAAGGAAACAAAAGCATCAACAGTTGCATATTTAACCTGCTGAGCATTAAGGCGAACATTATCCCATCTACTCATCGAAACCCTCTTGGGTTTCTGAACACTTTTCTCAATCACCCGTTGCGCCAAGGATTTAATCCCAGTCCTCAACATCTCTCGATCATTCAACACATCAGCAGGGAGGTTCCGTAAATCAACGAAATTGGTGACGATGATATTATAATCCTCCAGAAGCTTCTCGACGTCAGCTTTAATCCCAACTCCAACGAATCTGTTGTTGGGGTTGGCGAGGAAGGTTAGGAGGGAATCAGGGATGAAAGGGGAATGGAGGATTTGGAAAACGAGGCAGCGGTTGTTGATGCAGAGCTGGAGGACGGCGGCGGGGTTTGATTGGCCGCGTTGGAAGTTAGGACGCCATTCGATGTCGAGGCCGATGAGGAGGGGGGAGGGGGTTTGGAGACAGAGGGTGTCGAGGAGCCATGTGTCGACTATGGAGGGGGTGGAGGTTAGGAGGGTTTGGATAGGGGGGTTTGAATCGAAGGTGATGGAGTAGATGTTGTGGGTTTCGTATGGGAGGGAGTGGTCCACGACGGTGATGACGAAGGATGGTGGTGATGGTGGTTGTGGTCTGGGGTTGGGGTTGGGGGTAGGGTTGGTAACAACCGTGCCGTTACGGTCTCTGCGATTAGGTGGCATTGGTGAATAAAGAAGAGAAAGAGAGGTAGAGGGTGGACTTTGAAATTTTAGGAAGAGAAGTGTTGTGAGGGTAGAGAAAAATACAAGAGGAAAGGGTGGTAAAGGAATTTTAAACCCGACCTCCTACCGCTATGACCCCGAGACAATCGCTATCTAAGAACAAATGAGACTTCCTCCAGCTTCCCGCACAGGCAGAAAGACATAAAATACCAAGATCAATGGAACAAATTCAGGTTGTCCACACAGAAGATTCTCCACTGATTTTCAGCTCCTAAAACAATCGACTCCGGCCAAAACTTACTGCTACAAGAGCTTGGTTGCAGCTACTATACCAAAATACACTTCAGGCCACCACTAACTGTTCAACATGAAACAATTTAATTGATAAGCTCTAGGAGAGTGTAAAAAATTTATAAGGTTAATAGGTCTTTTGTTCTCTATCATTTGAATGAATTTTTAAAAAATACTCCTATAAAAAAACAAGATTACCCTCATCCTTTTAAAATACAGTCAGCAGAATATTTTATATGAGAAAATTAAATTAATTAATGAAATAATTTAATTGTTAAACTCTAAGAGAGTGTACAAAAAAAAGTGAATTTCTTTTGTTACCTAATGATTTTCTTTTAGGTCTCCGGTTAAAAATTCAAAATATCTCAGATTTTGCATGTGCAAATAAGAAAGTACTGTATTGTACAATAACAGGTGATTTTGCATGTGCATCTGCGAATTAATTTATAATTTGTCAAAAACAGGGTGACTTCGCATGTGCATCTGTGAAATTACCCATAATTTCTCAGTTCGCATGTGCACATGCGAAGTCTGTGAATTGTATTGAAAACGAACAGAACAGACCCCTCAACCATTTTCTATTCAAACACCAAAACTTCTCATTTTCTTCTCCAAACCCTAACATTTCTACTACCTAAACTCACTCATTTTTGCTCATCTCTCCATTTCAACTCTTTTCAAGTCATCCCAAATCATCTCCAAGCTTTTAAATTTGTGTAAGTTTTCTCCAAATTAATTTAATTCACAATGCAATCTTGTAATAGTTTATTAAGTTAGTTTATAAAAATTATATTGAGTATGTTGGTGTTATAATAGTTAAATGTGGTTGCTTGGGTGACAAAAAAATGACATTTGAGTGTTTTAGGACAAGAAGCAGCAGCTTTGAAAATGGTTGTGCGCAGGGGGTTTCGCATGTCCACTTGCGAAGTCACCCTGGACCAGTTTCGCATGTGCACATACAAATTCTTGCTTGAGTTGTTTTATTTTTTGTTCTGGACTGGCCCGACAGTCAGAGTGGGCCCAGTCTAGTCTCTCCCTCTGGCGCGGTCCGTCAGGCACCATCAATTGTTTGTCCTCCTAAACTGGCACTGACCCATTGTGGTCAACGAGAAACTCTCAGTCTGCCCGACATCAAGTCGCCCAGACAACTAGGAACCGGCCAGACCGCTGCCTGTAACCTACCTTCTCCTCGGAATCAACGGCTAGTTATGGGCACACCTGCTCGGTATGACCAAGTCCTGACAGTTACCTATTTTCACGGGTCCACATATCTAGGCCCAAAAATAGGAACCAATGGCCACGCGCCAGGGGCATTATAAATACACATGTGAGGGTCAGGTATCGAATATTCACTATTCACCACTAAAACCCTAATACTTTGCTTGTATCTCTTTGCTCCCACACTTACTTGATCGTCACAGTGCCTTGTAAGTACAACCCCCATTTCTCCTCCTCAACTTTCCATCCCGAAAGAAGATCGTCATTCGGCCACCTTACAGGTTCTGATCAACCGGTAAGATCAGTAGCATCGTCTGTGGGAAACTATCTTTCCCGTTTTCTATTCCTCGTAATCTGAAAACTAAAGATCCTCTCCATTCAACAATCATGGATGACCGTGACGATCATCATCCGTCTGGAAAGGCTCCACTTTCCCTAGCGCATAAGACTGACGGAGGTCAGGAACATCCTCACTTCGAGGATAATTTCGACCTCTGTAACGGTAAAACTGCATCCCTAGATTTTATCAACGCCCAGCGCGACGAACAACAATTTCTGGACGGACAGCGTCCCAAGATCCCCACTAAGGAACTGCCAAAGATCCTACAACCAATTCCCATCCCTCACAGCACGGACCCGACCATCGCAGCATTGCTCGCTGCCACCAACCAAACCAACGCCCTCATCTTGCAACAGAACAGAAAGATGGGGGCCTGGGAACAGAAGCAGTCAAAATCTCCTCCTCCGAGAACCCGACGACGATATTCCCCAAACATATATCCATCAAGGCGTGGCCTTCCATCGATGAAGGAGAAGCGCGATGTTTCTTTCTTCAAGAAACGCGACCGCACACATCCCCCGAAAGATTAAGACTTTATATCATCTAAGAGAAAGAAAGGCGACCGCCAAGTTGTTGGCTCCCAAATTCGACACTTACTATATTTGGTCTTTTAGACCAAATAACTGGAGTGAACCAAGCCAGGAAGTATGATTCGACACATGAAAATAACTTAGGGAAAAGATCTGAGTTATATTGGAATCTTCGACCAAGGGCTCATTCGACTGAAGAAGACTTATGTCACTCGACTAAGAGAAAGTATTCTCGCTTTGACACATGACACGAGGACTATTTGAATTTTAAATTATTGGAGGGAAAGACAGTTTCTCCAGCGTTTAAGAAGAGGCAACGTGGCTGAAAGCCATGGGTCGAGGGACATGCAGAAGACACTTGTCTTCATCCTAGTGCAGAATGTCCTCTCGACGGTTACCTATTTTTATTATAAATTAAGAAACTTGTGTAATTTTCAAGTGTGTTCAACCTATTATACTAAGTCACTCAAACATTATCCAAGTAACTGCTGCGTGAGAAAGGATAACGACTGAGAAATGTATGTTGGAAACACCTTTTTTCCTTAATGAAAGTCCTTTACATTACTTTACTATTATCCTGCAAAGTTATCTTTTTTACTTCTTTTACTTGCATTTCTATATTTCTGTTTACTTTTCCAAAATCTTAAACATCCTCTCTCTGGGTCGAACGTGCGTTCTTCCTGCTTATCCATTTTATATAAAAATTAGCATATGTCCTGGGATTAATCTGATCGATCCCGTAAGTAAACCAAAAAGAACTTGCCTTTTTGGAGATCAGCGGTTGTTTACCAAAAACAACAGTAAACAAATTGGCACACCTGGTGGGACGTTGCTAATTTTCTATGTTATTGTGTTTTTCCTGTACAGTTATAACATTGCATGTTATTAAGAAGTGGTAGAGTAACCAACAAATATACTGTTAGGAAGTAAAATAGAGAGAGTAGTATGGCTAACAAGCCAAACCATGGAGAAATACCTCCACCATTCACAGGAACAGTGGTTACTACTACTGTCGAAGGGAATATCCCAACTTCTGTTGGATCAATGCCAGCGTTAACCACAAATCAAACTGGACCCTTACTTTCGGTCCAATAGGTCCTTTAGGAACGCCTCCACCAAGGATAAATCTAAGATCTCGATCAATTGTACCCCCAGGCTTTTCGACAACCTGGATGGGTCGAGAACAGCCATATGGCATGCCAATTACTGAAATGGCTAGCCTTATGAATGCTGCTTCCATCTTTTCAGAACCTTTGGTGAACGCAACATCGTCATTACAAGGGTCTGGAGCCAATAGAAACCAATTTTTATGAGGGCCATCTCACATGATACCAGGCCTCACAAATGTTTCAACAGCAATTTTGAGGCAACAAATGGACGAAAGTAATCATGAAATGGTACAAATGCTAGCACAAACTCTAGATGACAGTGCAAATGACGCGCATGGCTGAATTCTTTGGGGTACCCCAAGTTGTTCGACAACCCCAGAGGGTACCAATAAGAGTAAATCAAGGGGTAATTATGGAAGAGGATTTGACCGTTAATCCAAACCCTCAGATTCCTAGGGTAGAAGTAGAACAACCAAGGATTGAGATACCACGAGACCTTCGAGAAATCGATCAAGGCATTATTATGGCTAATAGAAACCAAAACGCTGACGAATTAATGCAGCAAGTTCGATGACAAAACTATGGGACGGACAATAATCTAACCGCCATGATCGAGAGGATCATGCTTCAAAACGGGATAAATGTTGGTTTTCGCAGACCAAACTTTACATCCCCATTGTCAGAATATATTCTGCAAACAGACTTACCACCTAGGGGAAAAGTCCCAAAGTTCACTAAATTTTCAGGGGATATGACAGAATCAACCGTCGAACATGTGGCTAGATATTTGATAGAGGCTGGAGAAATAGCAAACAACGAAAACCTTAGAATCAAATATTTCCCAAGTTCCCTGACAAAGAATGCTTTCACTTGGTTCACTACCCTCCCAGCCAATTCGATCCACAACTGGAACCAATTGGAAAGATTGTTCCATGAACAATTTTACATGGGTCAAACCAAGATAAGTCTAAAAGAATTGGCTAGTGTGAAGAGAAGGTTTACAGAGCCAATTGATGAATATTTAAATAGATTTCGATTACTCAAAGCCAGATGCTTTACCCAAGTGCCTGAGCATGAATTAGTCGAAATAGCAGCGGGGGGCCTGGATTATTCGATTAGGAAAAAGTTAGATACACAATACCTAAGAGATATGGCCCAACTTGCTGATAGAGTTCGACAAGTAGAACGCCTTAAATCTGGAAAAGCTAAAACTTCCAAAACTCATCGACGAGAAAGGGTAGCTTATGTCGAAATGGATGATAACGATCCGGACACATACAGCAATCCTATAGATGTCGAAGAAGGCGAAATTGGTTTAGCGGAATTAAAACAAGGACCTCCATATTCTTGTAAATTGCTAGTGCCATCAAATGGGAAAAATCCTGTAGAACCTGAGAAAAACAGTGATAAATTTCCTAAGAAAACTTACATTTCCAACATATCCAAATGTGACGAAATATTTGATCTATTAGTTAAAGATGGCCAAATGATAGTTCCCCCAGGGGCTAAATT